ATTGTATAGCTAATGCTAACAGACTGGGTAGAAACCTATTAATACCTGTCTGCCTGTTAAGATTCTTCTTGATCTCTCCGTGCAGCACCTCCTTCCAGGTGTAAGACAAGATGATTTCTAAAATGAGGATATTCTCTGCCTTCTCTGCCTTCTCTTACTTATCTGTCATCTACAATCTATCAGAAAAAGTAGGTCAGATAAAGGCAGATTTGAGTTTCTATGACATGTCTCGAGAAAGGAATTAGGAGCTAGGAACTGTAGGAAAAAAAATATATGTATCATGATATCCCAGGGATGTAGAAAATTTCTTTGATAAATAATTTTCCATCTGATTCTGAAGAATCAATCAGAATTAACAAGTGCAGATAGAAGAAAAAGAGCATTTTAAGGCCAAAGAAATGTCATGTGCATAAGACTGGAATCAAAAAGAGCAGGTATAAGAAGGAAGGCACATGGTTGTGTTGGTCTGAGAAGTCATAACCGAGATGCTCAAGGGGTCCACGCAGATCTCAATGGCTTGAAAAAGTGGATGAGGAGGTGAGTGGAGATGTGAGCATTTTTCTGAGGAAAAAACTCAAGAGAGAGCGATTCCCTCTCCTGGAAATGTAAAGAGCCACTGCTGGGGTACAAGTAGCCAAGACCATAGGAATGTCACTGGAAATTATTAAGGCCAAAATGAACATGGCCAGATAGAGCTTTTTTCATCTCTTTTGTTAATGCAGATTTATGCCAGACACAGTAATTGTTGAAAGAGTGAATGTCTATTTGCAATGCAGTGTTGTGTTCTTAGTGCCTCTTTTTTTATAAGGCTCAATCCTGAAAACCTGACTTTGTTTTATTCATCTTAATATTACTAGAGATATTAGTACCTAACTTAGTGCCTTGGAGATAGCTCAGTATGTATAAGGCTTATCATTAAGGCATGGGGATTTAGTTCAATCCCCAGAACCCTTGTAAAAACATTTTTTTAAGTCACTGGGCATAGTGATGTGTGCTTGCAATCCCAGTGCTCAGGAGGCAGAGACAGGTAGATTCCTGGCCAGTCAGTCTAGCCTAATCAGTAAGCTCCAAGCCAATGGGAGACGCTGTCTCAATTAAAAAAAAGGTGGAGGACACCTAAGGAACCACACCCAAGGTTGACCTTTGAACTTTACATGCACAAGCATTGCAAACACAGTAACACATGCATGTGCGCACACGCGTGCACACACACACATACAAACAAAAAAAATCTATTTTAATTATTCATTTATTCAGGTAATAAAGAGCACTTGTCAGGTGCTAGGAACTGAGAATACAAAGTTGTCTAATATATTGTTCCTCATTTCAAGGACTTTATACAAGAGATAGAAGACTGGTAAGGTCTGGCAATATCTTGTTGTAAGTACTACAAAAGGGGTAAGAATAGAATGCAGCTGTAGGCCAGTAGGTAGAGGAAACTGGGACTGTCATGTGCCAGGTGAAGGGAAGAGCAGAACATGGGAGTGAGCATAAAAGGCAGAATCTGGAGACAAGGGGCCATTTGGAGATCGACAAGAGGTTAAACAATAGGGGGCAAGCTGAAGCTATAGAAAAGGGCCAGGCTGGTAGAGCATCTGAACCTTATCCTGATGACAATGGGGAATGAATGGTGAAGCAGAAGAATGGCTAGTCAGACTTGCTATATATACAATACTACTTGTGCTTCAGGCTAGAGAAAAGATTGGAGAAACAGTAATTATAAATTAGAAGAAATTACATTGGCCTGCACTAAAGTAGAGGTGGTGGAAACAGAAAAATATGGATGGATGAGAACTATTGAGGAGGTAGGATCAATAGTATTTAGTGATCAACTGGATGTTAGGGTGAGAATGATAAAGTGGTCATGATGAATTTCAGGTTTTTAACTTGAATACCTTAGATGGAAGCAAAGACTTAGAGCAAGCTTAGAGAGGCAGATGATGAATTCCAATATGGACGTACTGCATTTGAGTTTTCTTTGGAATGAGCATGTAGAGATTTTTAGTATGGTATTGGATGCACATGAAAATGTGGAGTTCAGAAGAAATCTGTGTAACTGTGGAGTTCTTTGCTTATGAAAGGTAATTGACTCCTAGGAGAAAATAAAACCCATTAGATTGATTGATTGATTGATTGATTGATTGATTGATTGATTGATTTTAAAAAGTAGAAAGACAGCCAAAGATAAATCTGGGACAATATTTGAGTAATAAACATTTTAGTGGAATAAATATAAAGGAAATAACAGTCATTTTCCAAGAAGGTAATACCATCCAAATACTGCTGATAAATCAGCTGGTTATCCTATTTGTGCTTCAGCCAAAGCCCATTCTTAGGTTTCTGAAATATGTTACTAAATAAAAAAATGGAAAGTAGTTAAGTATCATACATCTGAAAATGTATCTTCAGAGATTTTTCAGGCATATATGAAAACTGTATTCATTGGGCTCTATTGGTAAACTGACCGTGATAGCCTCTCATTAATCTGTATTCAAGAAACATTTTATGTTTAAATTTTATTATTTTCAAAACATTGTAGCCCAGGCTGGCCTGGAACTCATTCTGTGGCTTATGCTGGCCTTGAACTTGCAATATTCCTACTTCAGTCCTCCAAGTACTTGGCTAAGAAATTTCTTAAGGGCTATATGTTTAAAATATATGACAGGGTAGGGAGGTAGCTCGGTCGCGCCACATAAATCAGGCATGGTGATTCACACCTGTGATTTCAACACTTGGGAGGTGGAAGCAGGGGGTCATCCTCAGCCTTGAGGCTAGGCTTGGATATTCATGAATCCCTGTTTCAAAAAAATTACGTATCTGTTCATTCAAAATTGTTTGGTTTTCATCTAATGTTGTTTATAGATGCTATGTCTAGTTTGCCTGATTGCTGGCTCTTTCTTTGGCTGGTTGGCTTGGGGTATCAAATACGAAAACTTAGCCAGCTGGAATATGCCCCCAAAATGTTCCTTACATGATCTTTTTTGTGTGGATAAAGGCATTGGCTTATGTATTTAATATAAGTTGTCTATATGGAAATGTCCACTGACTGATAATGTGCCTGCCTTTGAACACATCAGTTTTCTTTTAAAAAGTTTTTTTTTTTAATTTTATGTGTATGAGTGGTTTGCCTGCATGTATGTAAGTGCACCACAGGCCTGCAAGGCCACAGAGGCCGAAAGAAGGTGTCAGATTCACTGGGACTGGAGTTATGGACAGTTGTTAGCTGCCATGTGGGTGCTAGCAACCAAATCCAGGTCCTATGTAAGAGAAACCAGTTCTCTTAATTAGTGAGCCATCTCTCCAGTCCCCTGAACACATCAGTTTTCTATAAACTTTTAAGACTTCCCAGACTTTACTGGTTGCCTTAAGACTTATTGAAGACATCTTGATTAAAATAAAGTTATAGTTCTGCAATTTACAACAAAACTCTATTTGAACAATAGAAGAGAGAACAAAGCTTAATTAAACCATCAGGAAAAGTTGCCATTTGACATTGTTTGCCCATCTTCTCTCTTTTTTTCACATGTTCCTAGGATTGATAGGAGTGAGTCTAGTCTGAACTGTTCTGTGTTTCCAAACAAGCTGAATTTTACCAAGTATTTTTTTAAATAACCAAACTATAACAAATTCATCTCCTAAATTAAAAAGTTGTCTTTTGTGTTTTGCATTTTGATGTTGCTATTTTTTTTTCCTTTAGAGCAAATCATTTCAGTCCGCATGGCTCACACCTTTAGTCCCAGCACTCAGGAGGCAGAGGCAGGTGGATTTCTGTGAGTCCAAGGCCAGCCTGGTCTACATAATGAGTTCCAGGTTGGCTGGGGCTTCAAGGGAGACCCTGTCTCAAAAAGACCAAAAAAATTTTTAGAAAAGAGCAAATCATTTCAAAATTTTGCATGGATAAGCAAACCAGTCAGTTGATAAACAGCTCTATTTTCTCAAAGTTTTCCTTTTTTTTGTTTCACATTTTATTAGTCAATGTCTTAGTTAAGTAGCCAAAGGGAATTTGTGGTTTCTGAGATCAGAAATCCAACTACTTTCTAAAACTAAAGGGTAAATGAGTGCTTAAGTCATCCTTTTTCAGATGAAGCTTCTGCTTCTAAATGGTATACTTAAATGCTTTATTGACATTCTCACTATTTTGTGGCAACACCGTATCAGTAATAGCATGCATCTACTACAAAAGAAAAAAAGGATACTATTGGAGCCTCTGCTAGATAGCCTGACAAATTGTGCTTTAAAACATATTACATTCCATTTTCCTCCCAAAGGACCAGAAGATGTGGAAAATTTTTTCCTCCCTTCTAGTAGCTGAATAATATATAAATGTCTTGTATGTGTTTCTTATAATTCTGAGCATCAGGGGTTGTCTGGCAGATTATATATACTTCCAATTGTTCACTCAGTTAAGCAAAAATAAGTCCCAAGATATTTACCAAAGTTAAGCCTAGTGGAGATGATGATTAGCAAAAATTCAGCGATCAGCTTCCCTTTAATTAATAATATACACTTTTCTTCAGTCCAAAGGGTCATTGTCCTTTTTAGTTCATTAGTCTGAGCATGGCACAGAAAAGACAAGGCTGTGTGTCTCTGCTAACTGGAATTGGGACTTAAATTATGTTTGCCTCTAACACAATCATGCCCTAGATCTTTCCTGACCCTTACTTACTCCTTGTTGGCCCCACATCTTGATCAACAACCCTTCCCTTAAGAGTTGGATGTGCTGAATTCACTAGAGAGAGCCAAAAAAAAAAAAAAAAAAAAAAAAAAAACCCATCCCAGAAACTGACTGCCTCCAGGGGACCTCAGCTCCTGGAACTTGGAATGCCAGATTCTGATATTGGCAGCAGGGTTGTGTGCTGGGCCAAACAAGCCCACAGGAAAGCAGGTTCAGATCCATTATGCAATTTGAGTGATTAATGCCTGGTCTACCTGTCTTATATATGTCTTACACAGATGTCACATCTCTGCTAAATTATGCCTCTCTTTGGTAATTCTCACAGATTCAAAGAATTAATTTTGTACACATTGAACCAAGTTTGAGAGCTCCAAGAAGAAGAGGGAAGTCAGCAAGCCAGTGAAAGTCTTCATCCCTAACAGAAAATGAAAGTTAGGTGCCTTCACTACATCGATTTAAAAAGAATCTTATTTTTCAAAAACGTTTGAAATGTTGTAGCAGGAAAGTAAAATTTTATCACCAAAACTTTTTCCTAAAATTTTTGCTTAATGTTTTTACTCAGTTGACTAAGGTACATAAGTTCACTTTGCTGAAAGGAAGCAGGTCACCAGGACTGCCTTGGGATAGCATTACTTCAAAGCAGAGTTAGAGATGAGACACCCTTTGTATTTGTTAAAGAACCACAGCAGTTATTTTGAAAGAAAGTAAGCTGCTGTTCTTAAAGGAGAGAGGGATTTTTCTTTACATAATTAAACTCTCCAGGTATTTAGACTGCCGTGAAATATTTTGACTTGTTGCAACCTGTGTTTTAGAATCCTTCTATAGCTTTATTAAAATTCCCACAGAGTAGCATAGGATATATGTAGAGGTACTTATCCAGGTGTGATTTATGTGTTGATTTCAGTCACAAGATTGATCAAGCTATGTGTGGGACCAACATGTGCCTTCTCTGTAAAATTCCTCAACTCTGGCCCCAGGCCTTGTTTTGTTGGCCAATTCTATACAGGGGACATGCTGCAGTTCAGGAACCTGGCTCTCTTTTAAGGCTTATATTGAATATTTCCCAATAAATACTTCAGTTTATCAGCCTGTAACCTGCAGATGATGTTCTTTGTCTTCTCCTTATTCTGGAAGAATTTTCATAGACTTAATAATTTGTGTGAGATGAACAATAAATGACTTAAAGAAATACTTTATGATTTATGTACATGGGATTTAATCATTTATAGGATCAATAAACTAAATGTTAAACTGTGTGCTTCGTGTCTATGTGTGTCTCATATGCCATGATATGTGTGTGGTGGTCAGAGTATACCGTGCAGCTGGTTCACCCCTTCCACCAGGTGGATCCTATGGATTGAACTCAGATTGTCAGGCTGGTGGTACCCTTACTCACTGAGTCATCTTGCTGGCCCCATTCATCATAGTTCACACTTCGCAGTCACTTCACTAAAATGAGTGCTTCTCCCAATGTACAGTGTCGTAAGGCCATCAGCACCTGGAATGCTCATTACAGTATGGCTTATTGGACTTAACTCATTTTTGCTAAATCAAACTGTCAGGGGTGGGTCCTTTGGAAGACTCTCAGGATTCTATCACACAGAGAAATGGCTCTGACTAAATAGAATCCCTGGGCTAGATGTACCTTAGCCCACAGAAATCTATGTGCTATGTTACCATAACACAGAAGAAAAGTCAAGGAAGCCTGCCTGTCTCGCACTACACTTTACTGGATTTTCATCTGTTTCTGAGGCCCTAGGGTTGAGAATCAACTGAGGCCAGGGATGGGGGACATTTTTCCTGCCTAGCATATTAAGTGGATTCATGTAAGCCTGCTCTGCCACTAAAAGGAGAAAGAGGGGGAAAGGTAATTGGGTTTATTATATCCTTGATAGAAGTGCAGCCTGAGTCACCATAATTTCTTTTAAGAGAATCGCATAAAGAGATTTGCTGTCTAGTAGAGGGATTAGGTTTATTTTGTGTCTCTCCAGAGGGCAGATCTAAGGCCAAATTGGTGAAAGCTTCAAGAGGTCAATTTGGCTTAGAGTTAGGAGAATCTTCTTAACTCCAAGGTTGTCAGTATTTTGAAACAGGTTCTTTTGTAAGGTGGTGAGCTGAAAGTCACTGCAAGCATTTAATACATAGGAGCTTTACCACATCTATAGAAGTCTTTGACTTGCAAAATACATTAGTTATACAGAGTAATTAATTTGTATTTCAGAAGAAACCATTCTGTTTAAAGGGGGAATTTAGCTTTTGATCTATATTAATGTTTATCATAAACTTACCCTAAAATTAACAGTGATCCTTAAAATTTAGAACTTAAATTTGTCTAGAAATTTTCTAGTGATTTTACTGTATCTTCTAACATGCCCTTCTTAAAGTTTTATCACTACCATTGGCTACAATGCATGTTTTTGATGCAGCATGTGTATGAGGTAGGAGAGAGAATTTTCTGGACCTGTGCCCTTGGATGGGCACAGAGGAAAAGAGATCTGTCATCAAGAAGATCTAAGAAACCTGAAAATGAGAAATAGCTGATTTTACACGGTATCGTTCATCCATGCAACTAACCATCAAGGACAGAGAGTATTCAATTCCATTTACTGAATGATTTATTTGAAGGAAAGCTTTTCTCTAGTCTATTCATTTCTGTCCCTGTCATAGAATGAATAAACACAAGCATATCAAGAAGCTAAAGAGAGGAAAGAAGGAGGAGGAAAAGGGGGAGGGGGGAGGGGGAAGAGGGAGGGAGAAGAGAGGGGAGGGAAGGGAGGGAGGGTAGAAGAAATAAAGGAGAAAGGAAAAAAGGAAGGAGAGAAAAGAAGGAAAGAAAACGAAATCAAGAAAACCTAGCCCCGAGGCAGGATGCCTGAGTCTCACTAGACTAGCCCTTCACTCGCCCTGACTACGCTTGCTACTTCAGCACTAGTACAAAGATTAGATGATGATAGCTTGGAAAGTGGGACATTGTTAAATTAAAAAATGATGTGGGGGAAGTTTGATTTTGGCTGTTTGGGGTTTTTCTCTCTTTACAGAAATTAGTCTAGCTGGAAAGAAATGGGTTAGGCTTATGATTGACTCCAGCCTTTGAAGCCAGGCACCAAAACCGCACCTTCATTTCCCCTCCTGCAGGTCCTTCTGGTGTCTGTGTTCTTTCACTCTCCAGATCACTTCTTCCAGGAAGAGGCTGGAAATGGTATCAAGTGTCAAAGTTACACTGAGATAAGTTCAAACTTTGGTGTTTTAAAAATTCTATTAACCATTAGAGCCAACTTTTGGTATAACTCAAAATTTGATTTATGGTTGCAAAACCAATGGTATGAGATCTTCTGTGACTTCCACAGATTCTTAGAGTAAAAATAATTCCCAGATATAATCAGTATTATTTAGGAGGAACTCCCAAGTAATAGTCTAGACTCTACACAAGTGAGAAAATTCCCAAGTGTATCCTCTTTGGAAAATAGTAATTTGTTTTTACAGTAGTATTTTAAGTGTTATTTGTGTACTGAGATCCTGGTTGAGACTTAATACATGCAGTTTTCAGTTTCTGTAGAAGGTAAGGGCATCATTGTTTTGTTTTATTTTGTTGAAAGCAAATTTTTATTAATTTGGGGGTGGTTATGCAATGTTAAGACAAGTTCCTAATCCAGAAATAGCAAGACTTAAGACTAAAGAGAAAATCTGCTCATACAATATCCTCTTGGGTGCACTACATCTCTGCAAATTGGTTTGTGAGACTCAAAGGTACTGAAATTCATTTTCATAGGAGATGGTGGCTCACAGCTTCACCTGGCTCACTCGTGTGCAGTATCAGGGAAACTAATCCTGAAATCCAACTGGAAGTTACATAGAAAATTTATAAAAGGGGACTTGGGAAAAAGTCTTGGCCAGAAGTTCTGAGAACAGGCTTATTCAGGGCCAAGATTTTTCTGTGTTATAATTTTATGATGTTATCCTTGAACCTTCAGTGAAGTCTCACTACATGTTTTAGTCTGATCTTAACTGGGCCCCGAGGTTCAAGAGAACAAGCCTCTCTCTCCAAGAGTGAAGAGGTGAGCTAAGTGAGGCAGCCAGAAACATCTGGAAAGCACAGAAGCATTCCTTGGGATCTCAAATACTTAAGGGCAGAAACCTACCATAGGAGTGGCTTTGGGGGAGTTATCTTGCTTCTTCAATACTTCTAAAGACTGTAGAAGGCTGGTTTCATTAGGATAATTACTAACTGGCTCCAGGATAATCAGGCAAAGTTTTCCATTTTCCTTTTAGCAAGGTAGTTAAGGAAAAGCCTGGGATATCCAGGCATGGTGGTGCACATCTTTAATCCCAGTACTCAGGAGGCCAGAGGACTGTGTATTTAAGGTTAGTCTGGGCTACAAAGAAAGACCCTATCTCAAAAACAAAAAAGTAATGCACACATGACAGAGAGAGAGAGAGAGAGAGAGAGAGAGAGAGAGAGAGAGGAGGGAGGGAGAGAGGAAGGGAGGGAGGGAGGGAGGGAGGGGAGAGAGCCTGAGCTGCTGGGTTTAAAACCTGCTTACTATTTTTTTATTTTATTTTATGTGTATGCGTGTATTGCCTGCATGTAGGTAAGTGCACTGGTGTTGTGCAGTGCCCAAGGAGATCAGAAGACACTGTCAGATCCCTTGGGACTGGAGTTACAGACAGTTGTTAGCTGCCATGTGGGTGTTGGGGTTCAAACCCGGGGTTTCTGCAAGAACAACCAGTGTTCTTAACCACTGAGCCACCTCTCCAGCCCTCTTGCTTACTATTTTCTAGAAAAGTTATTTTACCTCTCTGGTCCTCAATTCACTCACTCTGTGAACCGTGGAAATCTGGCCCCATAGCTCTTGTGAGGATGAAGCAAGGCAATTCAAGCAAACTGCCCAGTATGCATATAGCCAGGACTCTACAGATGTTCATCAAATTGTTTGTGTGTGTGTGTGTGGGGGTGTGTTTGTGTGTGTGTGTGTGTGTGTGTGTGTGTGTGCGTGTGTGCACGTGCCAGAGGTCTTTCTCTGTGTTTTTTCATCTTATTGTCTTGAGACAGAGTCTCTTACTGAACCTGGAGGTTTCAGATTCAGTTAGGCTAGCTGGTTAGCAAACTCCAGGGATCTGCCTGGCTGCCTTCCCAGTGCTGGGAGTACAGGCAAATGCTACCACACTTGGCTTTTTATGTGGGTGCTGGAGATGCAAACTCAGGTCCTCATGCTTGTGCAGCAAGCACTTGACCAATTGAACCATCTTCCCAGACCCTCCAATGGCTATTTTAAAAATCTTAGCCTGTCTTCTTCTTTAGTCTTCAAGAACTGAGGATCTCTACTGCTTTTTTGTTGACTCAGAGCTCCTTTATCATCTTTCCAAGCCTAGGTCTGACATTTGACC